CGTATCCTGTGCACCCAGTGCCTCATTAGAAGATTTCATAAATGTTCCTGCTTTATGGTAGTATCTTTCCATTTGGACTCAGGCACAGGTTTCTTCAGGATAAAATAGTTCATATATCAGGTGACTTAGCCTCTCGTGTAAAAGAATTCTTAATAGGTCCAAGGTGGCAGTTCTTCTGTCATGCATCAGATTTCAGTATTTTAACATGTATATGGAATAGATTTCAAATCTAGGTTCTTGCTAAATATAGTTATGATCATAGTATATTATCTTGATTGTTTTTACTTAGCATTACATAATTAGTATCTTTCATAGGTGTGTATTTTAATGTAATGTTCATAATTTTTATAGTTTAGTTTATGTACTTGAGAGAATTCAGGACAACTTATTTTATACAGTAGGAAATAGATTATGCTTTATTTCTGTAAGAAAAATATCAGCTTATATATGATTTGTAGAAAAGAAATACTGTGGTATTAAATAAGCATAATATGATCGTGTAGAAATATTTTCAAGATAAGCAATACAAAATATTGTTCTTATTATAGAGATGAGAGAACACTTCCACTCTCTTACCTCCATCTCTGCCTATCCATGCCCTGGAAAATTTCTATGAGGAGAGAAGATGTTAATTTTATGATCAGAATGTAAAACATTTTAATTACTCCTCATTAGGATGAAAGCTCCTCACGAGGGCAGGGATTCTGTAGGTTGTATTTACTGATGTGTGTCTAAACCCTAGAACAGTGCCTGGTATCTAATGGGTACTTATAAATGTGTATTGAATGGATGAAAAGGCACTAAAAATGGTGACTATGGTATGTTTTTAAGTGGTGGTTTTCATCTGTCAGACTGCCTATTCTTTGAAGGTAGAAACTACTTCTTAATTGAATTTTATAAACATGTAGATGTACTGGAAAATGTTTAATGTTTTGGAATGATCGGATGTCAAAAAAATATTAATGAAGAGCCCCACAAGCTACATGAAAAGGGCAAATATCTTGGCATTTTGAATAGAATTAATTTAAGTAAACAAGCTATCAAACATTTAAAGGAAGTCAAATAGGTTTTGACCTTTTCAATTTCACCCATCCTTTAACACAAAGGCATTATTAGACTTAAATTACAATGCTTGTGTAAATGAATTTCAGTTGAACTAGTTATCTTTGGGAGAAAACAAAATGTATCCCGTGTCAGTTGATGTAATTATGTAGTAGAAAATCAGAATTTGTCACAAAATTTGATCAAGAAAAGACAGGAAAACACAATAAACTGCCCTTTTATGTGTTTATTTGGGAACACTTCAGAAGAAAAAATTCTGAGCAACACAAAAAGAATTTCACCTTTGCCATCTACAGGATGAAGCAAAGGATTTTGAAGAATTTCTCTCCCCAGATTTATAGCAAAGATGTCTCTGGAAATTTGACCTTTAGCAGATGACAATCTATTTCAAACACTCTTCTTTCCTTACTTTCTTCCTAATTTATGTGCCAAATGGGAAACGTAATTTCCATTACATTTTGAACAGGTCATCCCCTCCCTGACTGCATTTTCTCAGGGTCAACACAATCATGAGCAGTAATGGGTGTCTACTGTGGGTGAAGAGTTAGAAGAGCCTTTCAAATAGAAATAAAACCCTATATGCCTGCAGTTCCCGTATCATTCATGGCCCTGGTAATCAGATATAACGTGTTAAAAATCTACAGAGATTATAAATCAGATTTTTCCCACTAATAGAAACTTCTAAAACATCCTCTTTAAGGAAATTATTTGTTTAATAAGAGACAGAGATGATATTTTCCACACAGTTGAAAAGAGAATTTTTCTGGCTCCAAGCAATTTTTAAGCTAAAAGATGTAATTTATCTTTAAGCAAGTTCCATTAAAAATATTTTGATTTTTTTTGTGTCTGTGTGAATTCTCATAGACTTGGATTATATGCAAAACTCCTGCTTGGTTATCATAGGTGTACCTAACAGGTGGGTTACATTTTCCCTTTCTGCCTATCTAATTACCTATGTAACATTTAGAAGGGAACTGGGTTATTGTGAAGCAAAGTTTTAACTAACCAAAGAAGAATCTAATCCTGGAAATCATATGTATACTCGAATCAATATAATCTAAATGTTAATAAGTAATGCCTTTATGTTATTAAATGAAAAACCTCAGAATCCATATATTTGACTTCTGAACATGTGGTAAGTGATTGAAAGGGTATTTATATATTTCTTATTTAAAATTCTATTAGCGTTATTCAACTCACATCAACTGGAATTTCTCGTTTTCATCTTAGTAACACGATAACAGTACTTTTTTGCATTTGTGTGGGAATTTTTAGTTGACAGTGAGTACGCACATCAGTTATATGATTTAATCCCAAACAAAAACCTTCTAACAAAGACAAATGTGAGAAGTTAGGAAGTTAAAGCTTAAAGGGGTTAACTTAAATGACTTGCTAAAGTTTGCCAGTTTGAACAAGACAAACCCACTTCTCTGATTAGTTCTCTTTGTGGAAAATTTTTAAAGTTCAGAATTCTGCATGTTTATTTAACAAATCAGTGTTAGGTGAGTATCCATTCTTTTTCTGATGCTTGACTAAGACAGAATTCACAAATAGGTTCAAGAAGTTTCTTCTCAAATAAATTAACGCGAGAAGTATCACCAAGTGCCTAAAGTGTGGTCAGATTTGGAAGGAAGGCAGTGAGGCAGAGTATTTGAGCGCGCAGGATCTGAGCCTAGTGTGTCTTGGACTGAACCCTGACTAAGCTACTAATAGTATGTTCTTGGACTATTTATTCTCTCTGCGCTTCAGTTTTTTTCATTACAAATATGGGAAAAATTATACCTTCAGGGGGCTATGATGTGAATGAGTGAAATAAAACATGAACAAAGTTTAGATGAGTGCCTACCTATTTGATATTTTAATCTAGTGGGGAAAAATAGGCCAAATAAAGAGTAATCCCCTGCCTGTCTGGTATTCAGTGAATATGTGTGTGCACACTTATGTGCATCAGGGAGGAAAGCAAAGTAACTGATTGGCAGCTGGATAAGAGGAGATAGTGTGTTTCAAAGTGAGAAGGCAAGGATTTGAAGGTTTTTTTTTTTGAATGTCATCATTTGCCGATACAGAACACCCTTGACTGACCCCTGTGGGATGTTCTTTGATGTTACATAGAGAAACATTCCCTGATGCCACGCAGCAATCAACATGTGGACTTAACTATTATGGTAAATGATAGGTAAGGATCTAATGAACTCTGGACAAACAGCTCTAATCAGCCAGCCATGGAGTAGGGACTCTGAAATGACCGAGGAATCCAGGTTACTCTATTTTAGATTTTTAGATCTAGATTTACTCTGTTCTATCATAAGTGGTACAATCTTCAGAATTTTGCACAGCTAATGCCTTTGATGCCCAATGTGAATTAAATATGCTTTAGAAAAGAAAGCGATATGTTACAGGAAACAGTTTTCTCCATGAGCTGCTTATATGCAAGTCTGTTTTCAAAGAGCTGAATTGCTATGATGAAGTTTCAGTGCTTACCCCATAAGCAACTAGGAATCTGGAAGCAAGCCAGGTGGTTAGTACTCAACACATTTAAAGCAAAAGCAATATTGTAGGCTGGCAGACACTTTGATGTTAATGGCACATTAGATTACTCCTCAGACTTTTATTACCAGGACTCCAAAGGTGCAGCCTTTGATAGGTGACAGTCTTGCTGTGTTTCAAGGAGTGGAACTTCTAATCTCCCTCCGAATTGCTAGGTTTCACACTTGTATCACCACGGCCTTGAAGTTTTTTTGCTCAATTCCAGGACAATTTGTTTCCACCATGACTAGAGCGAAGGGTAAATTAAGTATTCTTGATAATGGCAAGGCAGAACTACAATTTCATTTACTTTATACTTTGTCCTTTTTGTTGTGATTAGGAATTCTCTCTCTAAGCATGTATGGTATGAGTATCTAACAATATTCATAAATTTGGTTTAAATAACAAGAAAAAAACTTATTTTTTTCCTTTCGGAACTTTATATAATCTTTTATAACAAATTTTCTCTGTGAAATAAAATTTTAGTAAGTATATGTATAAATTCTATAACTAGCATTTATTATTATCATTTAAAGGCAACTCGGCTATGTTTTTGATTCTATTATGGCTTTAACAGTTTGTGATTTATTTTCTAATACATGCAGGTTTATCAGGCATATTTTATAATTGATGAAGCACTCTTATCTGAGCCTGGACATGCTACTATCACTTGATACTTAATAATAATTATTTGCAGTATTCAAGTAATTATTATCAAGTATTCAAACTAATGTATGTCATCTTTGTAGCAAAAGCAGTAACAGTAAAAAGGCATGGAAGTTGACTAATATGGAAATGTCTTGTTTAGCACATACAGTTCACTTTGAAAAATCATCTAGTTTAGTTTTCATAAAAATATATGTACATTTAGGAATTACATTGTATACATATGAAATATGTTTATATATTTATATATATGAATTCTAAAGAACATCTGAAAATAATAAATTTAAATAGAATTATTTTAAATAGAAAGTGACATAACCTCATCTTACTGTTGGAAAAGGTAATCAAGAGGACATGTCTGCTGGTTGACCCATGAGCTGGACCAGATAATCAGAGCTCTTCATCCCCTCCTCTGTCTTTGGAGTATGTTTGCTTGTACTCCCTGTACTGGAAGCTGCTCAAGGACACAGCTTTGAGAGCATAATGTAGTTTTGGTGCCACCTGGATGGTATACATGACTGAAGCCAGTTAGGGCCTCTGTATAAACTTCTGACATTCTGGTGAGTGGGTGTAGAGATCTACTCATCTTTTGGCTGCCCAAGACAAGCCTTGCAAGTAAATTTTCTTGCTTATTAAAGCAAGAAAGAGTTGTCCACCTCTTTCTTCGGTCTCTCTCAACCCTCTGTGTGTGGGGCCAATTTTTAAACCAACAGTTGGAGGGCCATCCTGGAGAGCAAAGTAATGAGTCTTGGGAAAGACGCATCCATGGGGAAAATTCTGAGCTGGCCATTGAGCTCTGTGTCGTGAGGAGGGTGGCCCATATGTTAGATGTTTGTGGGCAGCTGCATGGGTACAGGGATGCCCCCAAAACTCTAGCTGCTTTGATACGCTTTTTTGAGTAACTGCACGTTTGCACTGTGGCAAAAAAGGAAAACAAATGACTTCTGCAGGGGTCTGGCCGCAACTATGGACAGTTTGGCCAGCCACCAATGCCCAGTTCAAGGCTGAAGCTTGAGTTGGAAAGTTGGAAGAAGAGCTGAAGTTATAGGGGGACATGTGGTTTCCCACCATTCTGTTAGCTTCGTGGCTAGCAGGCAAGATGGGAGAATAGAATAATAAGTTAGAGACCTGGAAGTTTACAGACTACTGCAAATTAACATTCAAGTGCTTACCAAACCTGCTTAGGACATTAAGAGGTAGACTCTGGGGGAGTGAGGAGAGCAAAAGGGAAGAGGCTGTGAGATTGATAATGAAATAAACAGAGTGTCCCATTCTATCCAACCCTTAATACAAAGGAAAAATTTAAATAGTGATTATCCTAGATTTCTGATAATAGAAAAATATACCCCAAAACTCCTATGAGAAAACTTGCATTCTTTCTCTGTCCCTTGAAGTTGTAAATCTTATCACATCTACAAATTGTAAACACTACCTACCATTGCTTGAGGAAAAAAAAAAAAAAAGGAGAGGAGAGGTTTTTTAAAATACAGACTGCTCTAAAAGCTCTCTTGTCCAAAATCTAGTTTGCAGTGACCAAGGGCTAAAGTTTTGAAATAAAAGCCATGGGGTTTGTGTTTGTGTCTGTCTCTCTGTATATGTCTATGGATATATGTTATGGACGTTCAATGTTTTTCTACTTTCAGAGGTTTTGCCAAAATTAATTTATAAAAGAGCTCTACTTCATTGACTTAAAGAGCAATAAGCTTTACTCTCAGTACTGTATTTATGTAAAACTGAACTGAACGTTCTTTCATATGCTAAAAAGGTGAGGTTTTCTTGGGTTGTTGGTTTGTTCTTGATAGGAATATAAAAGGTTTTTTCTTTACTTAACAAGTAATCTGCCTAGAAAACAAAGATTCCGTGTTTTATCAGAATAATTTCCTGTGCTTCATTTTTTCTTTATCAGATCTTTGACTACTTAAGAAAACCAAGCCTTCTCTAGTAAAAGAGCTATGGTTTGTCTGTTTGTTTTTTGCAACTATATAACTCCCTACTTTTGCCTTTGAAATCTTCAGTTGTCTCTTTGGTTAAATGGATAACTAAATATTGTTTCATAGTAAATTATGATACTATTTAATCAAGTATTGTAAAACCTTTTAATATTTTTAACAAAATTCCGCCAAATCAAATTCTGAACCTTAAACTAACTCTAGAATTTTCCAGAGGGCCCCTGAAACATCTCAAAAAATGTGTTCTCTCTCCTTTTAAAAGAAAAATATCAAACTAAGTAGGCTTGTTTAATACGTTAAATTTCATGGTGAATATGGTATTATCCATTACTTCTGTTCACTGTGAGATTTAAGACTATTTTATGAAGTGGAAAAAAAAGGTATTTACATTTTTGACTTACTGTATGGTCCTGCCATGACTTTACCACTACAGAGTCCTTTTTCCCCCCGTCTGTGACCCTTCAGTCCACTGCAGCAATCGCAGGGAGGATGGCCTTGAATAGGAAGAGCAGCAGCAGCTCTTGGGAAGCAGCATTAGGTCTCAGACTCACTTTTGGAAAGAACCTGACAACTGCTTGTTTCTGCCCCCAATTGATGTGTCAGTTCAGATCACTGATGCCAAAAACCAGAAAGGCAAAGTTATCAGAAAATCTCGAGTAAATTAGAAGGATATCCTCCAGCCACAAATTCTCTTATCCTTCAGCACACAAAGCTAATGTTCCAGGAGTTTAGTTGTTGAGCTGGTAAAGGAGATTGTCACACCCTGAAGTCCATGGGGAACCATGTCAAGCTGAATCCACAGAACACACTATTTTATACTTACTTTTAAAGACACAGTGCATGGAAGGAACTTTTACTGCAATTTATAAAAGTAATAATCTCACTATACTAATACTTGTCTATCTTTGCCTTTCTTTTTTGGTAACTGAAGATTTCATGTAATTATCTGCAATGTGAGTTGATATTAAAATATCAAATGGTAATTAGGTGAGGAAAGTAAAATTCAGTAAGCAAATACAATTATTAAAATTTCTGCTGTCCCCATTTTTTAAAAAATCTTTGGTTCTGGTATAATAATGTCATAGTAACTTTTTCTCTTACATAAGAGAATGGCTATACTTACTTTTCAATGATTCTGCTTTGTTCAAAGAAATACATGCCCTGCATTCAAAAACTGTGATAACAAAAGAATTATTTTATAAGAAATTTAATTATAATACTCCCTATCCTTGGGTGGAGTAGAGTTATTTCTTGTGTAATTTGATGAAATGGTATTTCATTAGAGGCAAACCTATACTTATTAGAAAACGATGGTTTCGTGGATATGCAAATGAGATAGCTATTCATCCTTTTACTTCATCACCTCCATACTAGCCATAAAGAAATTAGAATGCTACGGCTACAATCTTTGAATTTGTAAAGTCAGTTAGCATCTTTCTTTAATGGGAATGTTAGGAGGTAGCATAAGATTTTTTCCTCTTTGGGGAAGACCAAAGCTCTGAAAAGATATCTGGACTATTAACCTGTAAACCAGACAACAGCTCAAAAATTCAAGGAATAAAAATGGAGTTGAGGATAATCTCTGAAATAATTCTACCTTGGTAACCTAAGAAAATGACTGAGATTGTTACTGAGTCCAAACTCATTCTGCTTGCTGCACAACAGGCCAATAAATCGGGAGACAAAGGTGTTGGGGCAAGGAATAATGACTTTATTGGGAAGGCTGGCCGACCAAGAAGATGGCAGACTAAAGTCCTTGAGAATCGTCTTCCCCACATCAGAATTCAGGCTCCTTTTATACTAAAAAGGAGAGGTGGCGTGGTTGTTGCAAACTTCTTGATGTTGGAATCCTTTGTTCTTACAGCTGTCCACATGGGTCAGGTCATGGTGTCCCTGTAAACCACCAAATGTTATTTTCTATTCTGCAACTTTTTATCTTTATATAAATGGAAAAGTGTTAATACCCTTGAGGTCAGAGCCTTGAGAATGGGCTATATTTCAAGCTATAGACAACATTCTTTTACAAAAGGTGCAGAACCAGCATGACTGAGCACAGGGTTAGAGCCAAAGGAACAGATCAATATGGAGTCAGATTTGTTCTTTTCTGTTACAAGATCACAGCAACAGGATTTACTTCAACAGGTAAAAAAATAAAGTCAGGTAAGAAGAGAAGAAACTCTTGTCTAGGTCAGCTCCTCTGGAGGGAGGATATGAATAGCGAAAGAAACTAGTAGAAGGAGTTGGAAAGATGTTGAAGAGATAAGCAGTTGAAGATCAAGTTAAGATAAAAATTAGCTACAAAACATTTTTTCTTACAAAGACAGTGGAAGCAAAAAGGCATATTGCCACTTGTTATTCCGGTCTTCTTGCTGAAACTTGGCTTCCATACCCCACTTACCACATTGAGACTCAAGGACTGAGTTTTGGATGAAGTAGAAAAGGCAGCTTTATTTCTTTGCCAGGCAAAGGAAGTCACAGTGGGCTAATGCCTCCAAGACTGTGAGCCTGCCGGGGAGAGAAGGTAGAGGGCGTCATAGGAAGGGTTCAAGAGGTGGCACTGGTTTCCATAGAGATCACATGCAGGGTAACAATTTGTTGTGTTGTCCTTATTTTTGTAGTTGCAGTGATCCCTTTTCTTCTGCTGGGTGTGATGTTCACCTCCAACTTCAGAACTCTTCTAATATTCTTGTGCTTAGAACAAAGAGTGCTTAGGGAAGGGGTCTGTGGAAAAGTGCTCTAGAGAAAAACTTGGGCAGTTTAAAGTCAGGTTGATACATGCTTCTGTTATTTTGGGCAGGCTGAGGCTTGGGACCTCTTGCTGTGGTGTTTGCATAGGTTGGGATTGCACCTGGAAAAACAGAATACAAAGAAACTACAAGAAGCTAAAAATAACTGCAGACATGCACAGTTGGGGCGAGTTCTGGTCAACAAGGTGCACAAAACACTCAGCTGCTGTTTCTGAGGTATCGGGAGCAAAATGAGGGGAATGGGCACATCACCCAAGTCCCTCCCTCCTCTCCAGCCTAACCCTGGTCAGCAAAAGAATGAGAAGAGCCCTTTAAACCATTATGCAGTTAAGAAATTTCAAACACCACTACCAATACCAGATGGTCACCAAAATGACAGTCTCTCTGCTCCTTCTGAGTTAGGTGTCTGTCCTCTGTGTTCTAACAGAACTATGTTGGTGTACTTTCCACTTCACATCATGTTATTGGCTTACCTCCCTCTCCAGTCAAATTAGGAGCAGACTGAAAGCAGCATGAAGTCTGTTATTTCTTTATCCTCAGTGCTTAGCACAAGATCTGGAATATACTGTTTATCAACTATCTGTCAAATGAGTGAACCAGATTTAGTACTATGCTCCTGAGAGACACCAAATAATCAAGTAAACATCCAAAACCAAAATAAGTATTACTCTAGAGTAAAATCTGAGACGATATGGAAGCACACACAGTTGATACAGTTCCAATTACATGCAAAGACACTTAATACTGTTTAGCCTATATGTAAATAATGATTTATAGACAAATGTTAATTGTACTTTAGGAATTTTAAAATATTGAAAGTAGTTTATTAATGCTTCTGTTTATTAATTGATCCCTAGTTGGACTCTAGTGAGCTAGATTTCTAGAACTCAAGAAATCCAGGAGAGCTGAGGTCTGGAGTGTTTCTGGACCTAGACTAAAGCTGAGTTTATGGATGAATATTAGATGATCCTCTCTCAAGATAGGAAATCTGCCAACCTTGGAAAACGACAGGCTGCCATCTCACGTCACAGTTCTTTAAAGTTAACTGATTTATTACTGACCATTCTTTTTACATAGTTGCAAGGGAAAGCACTAAGGAGAGTTGGGAAACATCACACCCACAAATCAGTGTTTGCCCCAAGGTGAATCCAGACATTTGAAAGAGGCTTATACTGAAGGTAAAGATTAACGTCACAACTTGATTAGGAAATATCCATTGAAGAAAAGTAGAGACACCTAAGTTAAACCAATTGCTATGTTTATCTTAAGTATATTTATCTGTGTATAAAATCCTTGATTCAAATAAATATTCTGAAATCTAGAGGAGATGGCAATTAATGGGCTAGGTAGATTAAGTGGGAAGTGAAAAGAGTTTCAAGAAAACAGAAAAGTGAGAAAGCTGAGCTTAAGTTTTTGGACTTCACCTTTAAGAGAGTAACAGAATCCCGATCTGTATTACTATTAAAAGGCAAAACAGAAGGCAGATGATTGAGAGTATTAGAATGTCTATCTTAGCACAGAAATGATATTCCAAAATTTTTACCCAAGAGAATTTTTTTGTTGTCTATAGAATGATAAAGTTCTTTGTCACCTTCATCTCTGGTGACTGTGGAATAGAGAACTGAGAAATGACGGGAGTTACGTATGGTACAGTGAAAAAGAAAATTCACCTTCTCATTTGTGTCAGTCAAGCTAGAGACCTTATTCTCATGCCTTTCTCCCTTCTAATGTCTAGTCTTGCTTCTGAATCTTCTGCCAGAGGAAGAT